GAAGCACTTCTTTACACAGCGTGTAGTTAGAGTATGGAATAGTCTTCCTGCTAGTGTAGCGGAAGCTAAAACCATGGGTTCCTTTAAATCAGACATGGATTTTGATTTAAAATGTCCTGGTATTTCATGGAGTCCATAATGCCATGAACCCTAATGAAGTTTCCAGGGCCTTTGGAGGAAAAACAGCTCCACAGCATCACAGAACCTCCATCATATTTTGCATTTGGCATAAGGTGCATTTCATTATAGCCATCCTTCTTTTTTGCCAAACCCACCTTATGTTTATTGCCAAAAAGCTCCATTTTTGTTTCATCAGACCATTGAATTTTGTTCCAGTCAAAGTGTTTTGTAGTGTTTTGCAAACTCCAGGTGCCTAAGTTTGTGGTTAACTGACATAAAAGCTTCTTCTGGCATACCTTCCAAATAATCTGTTAGCATGAAGGTGCATCTGATAGTTTTTTCAGAGATGTGGTAACCTCAAGATTTTATTTGGTCTTGTAATTCACCAACAGGCATCCTTGGGGATTTTTTTTGCCTCTCTTACAATCCTCCTCACTGTACGTGGGGGAAAAATAAACTTGGGTTCTCATCCAGGCAGGTTTATAACAATTCCTGTTGTTGTCCACTTTTTTAGTATTGCCCAAACAGTAGAAATTGGCATTTTAAGGCTAGTAGCTATTTTTTAATACCCATTCCCTGACTTATGAAGGTCAACACACTTTTCCCTCATTTGGTTTGTATGTTCTCTTATCTTTCCCATGCTGATGGATGACTAAAGGAATTTGGGCTCTGTGTCGCCTCATGTTTGTACAGTATCCCTGTTAACCAGGACATCATGGATTACAGCTTGAAGGTTCCTATTCACTCCACTCAACTCAAAGATGCACAATTTACAGGGGAAACATGCTTCAGTTACATTGTGTTCACTATAATTTCCATGGGTGCCAATAATCGTGGCACATGTGTTTTTGTTAAAGATAATTATTTCTTGATGAAGGATTTTTTCTTGGAATAAATTTATGTTAATGAAAGGTTGGATTTTTCTAAATTTTTCAGTGTGACATGAAGCTGCTTCACCAAAAGGTGGTTTTTTTCTAACCCTTTTTACAAACCTTTGCAAAGGGTGTCAATAATTGTGGAAGGTGCCGTACATCCTCACAACTTAGAGGAAACCCACCAGGTTGTGAGAACTTTTGGGCTGCAAGTGATTTCCAGACTTTCTTGTCATCGTTTTATTTTCCCTGAAGTCTATTAAAGGCAAGAGGGGAAGAACTGTGATTTTATTATAGCCATTATAATGAAAGCGAATCTACTAACAGTGTCTGCATAATGTGATGGGCAAAGACTTTGGTTCCATGGTGGATCACAGAGTTGCATAGAGAAGTAATTATGGCTGCCGTTGCTGCTGTGCATGCCGTTTAGGCCTACTGTGCCTGTCCATCAATGTGTCTATGCATGTTCTGAGCACCCATGCTCTCTGCCTTGCTTCCCACATTTCCAGGAGGCGCCCGGGGTGGGTACTGTCTGGGCTGAAGTGCTGGGTCAGTCCCATGGAAGTGTGACATGTGGATGCAGCTTATGAACTGTGACGTCGTAGGTGCAGCCTAAGATCTGCCGGTTTGCACAGACCTGCTCGGAGAACTGGCTTACTGAAAGACTTTGGTCATAGTTTATATCTTGCTTTCATTAAAGCCTCACTCCGTTTTTGCTCCACAGTGTTAGATGGCCCAGGGGAGGCTGACCAACCTGTCAATCCTGGACCTCCTGAGTTTTTTTTTCTCTCTACTTGACAGGTTTTAGTTCCTCTCCTCCGTTGCCTTCTGGCTATCTTTGTTTCCCTGTTTTCCCGTTGCATGCACCATTTTTTATACATGATATAGTAGTGTATTGCCACACACTCTTGTCACACACTTCGACTTGTCACAGTGTTGGGCAAGGTGCTATATATATATATATATACACTGAACTGAATTGAATAGGGAGAATATGAAAACTCCATAAACACAGTGGGGGTAGGATTCGAACCCTCAACCTCTGCTGATGTTTCCAAAGGATACCACCTTGGCAGTGAGTAAGAATACTAGCTACCTTATGTGATGACATGAATGTGATGACCTACAGCTTGGGTCAGGCTGTGCAGCCCTGCTTTCACAGAAGCAGTTTCAGAAACCACAAATTCAGCATTAAAGTATAAATCACACATTAAAATTAGGATTAAAAACTGGTTTGGCTGGATACTTGACCTTATTCCCATTCTAATTCAAATTATAATAATTGCAAACTTTTACTCTTTTCCATAAAAGTAAGATCAAAAAGGGCCATCAATATTTCTGAAGTGTAATTATGGCAGAGATCTGGCCATAAGCGTGCATGCAGGATTTAAAAAGTAACAAAGCTGCACTGTCGCACTGCATCCTGATTTCCGGAGTATGTAAGTGATTATTTCCACTGTCCAGAACAGGTATTTTTCTCCATAACCTCCCTCACGTAACACAGACAAGAAAAAGGGAGGCAACAAGACTGTCAGAATCAATGAGAGTCTAAGAGTAAAACTAGTGACACGTGCCAGTGATGGCTCACCCACAGAGCTAAGGTTGGCAGCCCACATTGTTTATGTTCTCATGGGGGGGGTGGGGGGGTTATACAGATGAAATTAACTATAGGAATCATGAAATGCACAATTGAGGCACTTGAATAATTCTAGTTAATCAGTTACAGGTTTTTGTTAATTCATATTAAAAGGAGAGACTGAGTGTTCTTTTGTTTCTTCACTTGGCAACAAATGGTGATTACTATTTCATGGTGCGTTCGATTATTTCTCTCCAAGTCGGAACTCGGATGAAAACGACACGAAACGTCACGAAAAACGTCACTTCCCGTCGGAAACACGCCTCTTTTATGACGTTGAAGTTGGACAAGATTTTGTTGTCCGAGTTGCCCCTGTGACGTAATTTCAACATGCCGACTTGGTTTGTTTGTAGTTTATTTACCGTTCAAAAAAAGAATATCGCTATGAATGTACTAAAATATTATAGAAAGCTTTTAATGTGGTTTGACTAGTTCGTGTTTCTTGTTTGTCTCTCGGAAAAATCTAAATTTCTCCATTTTCTTCATTTGGAAAACTCCAAATCTGCTAAAATATAAAGCAACAACACACAGCAACGTGTTTATGGAGGCAGCCATGTTTGTTCCGAGATGTGGGTAGCTCGAACGGGAGATTGTCGGACGTGATGTCACTCAACTCAGAATTTCCGAGTTCCGAGACAAAAACGAATGCACCATTGGAATTGATATTGTGCAAATGACTAAAACGCCAGACATGCAGACATGCAGCAATTACAATTTTGGCCACCTCAATGACCACCTGATGTCGTGTTCCTGTAATGGTTCAGAAATGTTACCATAGTGAAAGAACATCAGAAACTGAGAACTACCACTGGTTTTCTTTACTACTGTAAGGAATTGGTGACATCTAAAGAGTACCACTTACCTGTATGTATCCAAGAAAAAATCTGTAGTCATATATGCAGCCACATGATGCAGGAAGATCAGCATATCAGTGAAATCCAGGATTTTGTCCCCTTAATAGTGCGGTATCATATCTAGGCTGACATATTTAATATGCTGGCTGGCAAACAGCTGGAGGGGTAGTCATATCAGACTGTGTGCAAAGGACATGACCACTGTAACTTACCTTTGCATTTTCTCATCAACACAGCGGTGACCCCAGTTTGAGTATCCCAGCCAAAGATGGCATGGACTGATCTGCTTCTGCATTTTTGATCCCAGGAGGAAACTCACTTGCATACTGCAGCAATTAAGGTACATGAAGTGCACAATGACATTGTGTAATAGCAAAGACAAAGTGCAAAGACGATACATACACTGCAAATGAAACGTGGAAGGTTAGGTATAATAATACAGCATATCCTTCCTGTATTTCATTAATAAATTAATTTATTACTGGACCTCAAAAATACATACATGTCTGATGGGGTTTTGCGACTCATACTGCCTGGACAGAGAGGAGATGAAAGGATCAACAGGAATCAATGATCCAAGAGCAGATTGTGTTGGGGACACACAGTCATGCACCCTACCAATGAAAAAAGGTGTAGTTATTAAGTGCCCTTGTAATGGGGAGAAAAATCTCTCTGATGGCTGCCCTTCCAGTGAAGAAAATGAGATACAGTGCCCCACTATGAGATGGAGTTTCCTATACATGTGATAAAAGTAAATGAATAACATACCCTCTGCGTGTTCCTATGTACATGACAATGTGATATCTAGGTTGCCTCTGTAGTCCACAAATCATTAGTTGAACAATCTTAACCAGGGACTACTTGACCAAACTTAGTGTACCATTCTACGTGGGCTGGGGGGGCACCTGTCATGCAATAGGTGCCCTTTATATATTTTCACCCCTGCCCTCCAAACAGACCACCACTGCCAATCATGGTCATTCAAGCTGGTAATCACCAATTCATGTATATACCACTTAGCTTCCATGAAACGTTTTTCTCATTATAACGAGGTATGTACCTCATTACAAGGAGAAACTGATCAGATCAATATTTTGCCCGGTGTTCTTACAATTTACAGACCAATTTGTTTTTCTCAAAACTCCATAAATTGATGAAAAGGTATAACAATACTATAGACATATGCATACTGCGTCAAAGCTTAATATTTGATAGTAATTGCTTTTCCAGACGGGGAATACATATGGTTTTGAGACGGACCGGCTGTCGCCGCTCATTAGCACATGCCCAAACGCCAACATACAGTATAGCCTTTTGTTGTTGGAGGACCCCCTCACATACCGTGCTTTAACTGTTCCTGCAGCTTCCCTGTGTTAGATGACTAAGATCGATAACCACATAAAAAAGACGCTTCAAGAAACTTCTTCCCCAGTGCCATCAGAGACCTCAATAGTTCCCCCTGCTTGTAATTAATCAACTATGTAACATTTGCACCCGTTTCAATGTTTCCATTCTCATCAGCACAGACCCTTGATGCTTTATTTGCACACTGCACGTGATATATGTTATATAAGCCTACTATATGTATAGATGTATGTATATGTCTGTATTATGCCTGTGTTAAGTGCACTACTTAAATTTGAACAAACCGCTGTACAGCCGCTCCTCTACTTACGAATGAGATACGTTCCAAACGGCCGTTCGTAACTTGAAATTTTCGTAAGTTATTATTCAACATAATTTTTAAGGGTATACGGAAGTACAAAGAAATAGGATGCTGGGATTTCACACGCTACGCTGCTGTGCGGCGGGAGTAGCCGCCAGAAGTCGTACTAGGCGGAATTGGCGCGCAGAAAAAAAAAAGATCTTGCAAACAGGAAACGGTAGCCCAATGAACACAATTTGGACTTACAGTCCTCTTTGTTCGTATGTCTTAAAGTTCGTAAGTAGAGGAGCGTCTGTATTTATCATACACCTTGCGTATTTTGTGTCCTGCATTTATTCTGTCTCTTTGTTGCCCTAGTTGTTAATTATCTACTGTCATGGTGTCTCCAACAGCAGCAAGCTGTGCCAACACAAATTTCCACCGGCCGTGATCGTGCGCCAATAAAGATTCTGATAACAAGGCTGCTGTAATCTGACCTACAGCCCACAGCAACTATCTGGAAATTAATCTTTTTATCAGTAGCCACAGAGAGTACGGAGAGTATTCTTTGTGTAATAGGTCAATCACAAGTATCAACAAAACCACTTCGACTAAAACAGAAAAGCTTTTATCTGGAGCAGCGGTGAACACACAGCCCCCGCTGTCCTTGTTCGCCAATCTTCCGGGCGATCTCATGCAACACAAGTACAGGATAGTGGTAAGTATGTAAGTATGTATTCCTCCTGATTTTCACACACTAATTAATCACGTTCTGGGCGACCCAATGGGAATGGACTGAGTAAGACGTAATGTGAACCAAATTGTGCCTGAATATGCCATTTAACTCCCGATAACGGCGCATCTTGACCACGACACGAGAGCAGCAGCAGTGTTACAGGAATAAGTGCCACTGTACTGTAAGTCCGAGTCCTTATTGGCAGCGCAGTTAGCCTCTCTGTCTGCGATATATTTCGTGTCCGCTTACGCCATCTGATGGTCCCAATAAATCAGTGACTCCAAGCTTTGAAGCAGAACCTGAAGTACCCTGTCAGGGGGGACATGAAAGGGGGAAAAGTTAGGATAATTCCAAAATTTGGAACATAATTAGATTGGTCTGGGTTGGGGGCTCATTATTATATGCTTTCATGGAGCCCAAAGTCTCTAGTCGCACTCCTGCCTGTCACCAAGCACATTCTACATAATAAAGACAATGGGAACAAAAGAAAAACTAAACAGTTCTTGTAACTTGACATTGATTTACCTTTAAATGTTCCCCTATTTTGAAAGACTTCTATGAATAAATATGACAGCTGCTACCAAGCTTATTTGTGCGCTTCTATAAATAGAATAGTGTTACTTTATTCCTCCACTTGTGAAAATTGTCTTTTCGATATTGCTTTCTATGAAAGACACAGACACGTATATAAGGTGTGTCCCAGTGCAGGGTTGGCCAGTCCTTGGAGCAGCTGAGAGGCGTCAAGTGGGAGGGGGTTATAACGAGGGACCTGTTACCTTCTGATACCTTAAACCTAACCCTCATTACAAACCTCTCCTACTCCTCGTGAAAAACCCCTTATACTTGACATTGCCCCTCCCCAGGGGCGGATTAACGCACAGGCTAGATATGGCTTAAGCCTAGGGGCCCCACGTGTGCCAGCCTGCAAGGGGGCCCCCATTGGCGCGGAGGGGGGCAGGGTTGGGGGGCCCACAGACTACTGTAGCCTAGGGGCCTCTGTGCACCTTAATCCGCCCCTGCCCCTCCCACTCGACACTCGGCTCCTGGCTGCTGCGATATATACTTGGAGCAGTGGTCATCTTAGGTCGAAAACGTTATTCTTTATGTCAACAATCTAAAGCATTTGACCACTTATATGAAATGAACGACGGTAGACTGTTTACGCGTTAAACTGGTACCTAGGTTACCAATCACGTTAAATCAGCCGTGTGGCTCCCGACGTCCACTTCTTTATTTCTCACATTCAAAAAGCAAACTTTACTGATGTATCCTCTGATACATATCCTTTACTGGAGTCGCAAACCAAAAAACTAACCGGAGAAGCACTTTCTTGTACGATACACTACATAAAACTCAAATTATAATGGCAGGTCTAACACAAAATATTCTAACCATTTACTTAAACAGAAAATACACCATTCTGTATAAATAGTGCTTACAGGGGGCAAAAGACCTTGTTCAGTCTGCCAGCCACATAAACAGGTAGTAAAAGTACAGACTTGAATCCCCACAAGAAGAAGAAATGCATTTTTATTTTAAACCCCCCTCACCCCGTCGGCAAAATATACCAATTTTCTAGGGCTCATCTTCAATGCGTCCAAAATCATTAGGCGTCCACTGGAGGGCAGCACTTAATTTACAGGGTACTCCATTGAACTTCGGGTCCTGCTTTACTCACGTCGTTTGCGTTCGTGTCCGGAAATGGGAATCTATGCGGTCTGTCCTTTACGAAGTATTTACTTTCACTTTGTAGCCATCTAATATCATGTGAACGATTTGTTTTATCGAGTCGTACAACTCGCCGAATACATTACGTTCACATAAATTTGACTGTAGGTGCGGTGCAATGGCAGTGGAGTGTGTGTATACTCGATTTCATTCCTACGACTTCGAAAAAGATAAGAATTTCTTAAACGGCTTAAAAACTCTTCACATGAATGAAGAAGACCGTGGGTCTATGCTGAAGTTGAAAATATTCTTTTACAGCAGGTACGTAGATATAGTTTCTTCATTGTATTATGTTCACAGAACATTGACACAATTTATACCACATATTAAATTTTGCTATGCATTACAGCTGAAGTTCAAAAAGAGGCAGTTGTAATTATCGTGATTTTACCAACTGCACAGAAATCGTGAATGTGCTGTTCACATTTCATTAGTTCAGTTGCCACACTGGCGTGGTTATGGAGAGTCTTTCTATGTGTTTGATGATAATAATCCAGGGGTCACCAACATGGTGCCCGCGGGCACCAGGATGCCTCCAAGGACCACATGAGTCGCCGGCGGACCTGTTCTAAAATTAGCACAACTCACCAGTGAGCAGCGTCTAAAATAGTCATTGTTGATAAAATCATAAACGTGTGAGCAGATTTGTTATTTAAGAAGAGTGTATCAAACTGGTAGCCCTTCGTATGGCTCAGTACCCATGAAGTAGCTCTCAGTTTCAAAAAGGTTAGTGACCCCTGTAATAATCTGTCTTTTCTGTATGTTTAGGTTTGTTGAGCCCATCACCATTGAGGGTTACCAACAGTGGATCACCTCTCATGCACCATCTCCATCTCAGGCAACAGAGGCACAAAGTGTCCCTGGATTAAGTGATAATTGCTCTGGTTTATTTAGGAAATGCGAGGAAGAGACCGTTATAACTGACCAGATATCTGAGTTGTATTCCATAGACATTTGTTACCGCAATAAAGATGAAGCTTCTATGTGCCAGCATGCTTGCACCCTCTCCACTGCCTTGGATTCGGGGTCATCCACATCATTGTCCTTTGCAGAGGTTTTCCAGCTGATCCAGAGAGGTGAAGAGGTGCCAGGGCTGCAGAAACTTGACATCAGACCCTGTCATCAACCACCCACCGCCTCCCAAATGCACCGGAGGCCAAAACCCTGGGAGAAGGCTGACTCACCCTGAGTGTCTTACCCATAGCTCAGAATTTACAGGCCACTACTCAGTAATTTCACATGAAAAATAAATGATTTCATTTGATCTGGGAGAATTATAAAAACTTTGTGGAGTATCAGTAGTTTTAGTTTAACAGTGGAACACAGGAACAAGCAGTAGTGGGCTATCTTTCTTTGTCCTTAGGTGTTGTGTGTATGTATAAATGTAATATAAACTGAATTTAAAGTCTACTTAAATTTGATTGATCAACATTTACATTGGGCACAATTACCTCAGTGTGAGAGTATGATTAGTACTTCCAGGATTATACTCAATTTAAAAAAAAAAAAAATGTATTGCCAACAGAGTTTTTTAGAGTGATATTCTTATTAGCCTGGGTTCTGTTGATCCAGTATCATAATGTATTCAGTGATGAGAGTTCTAAGCACTGGCTAAGGGCATCTGCCAAATTCTGTAAATGTAAGTATGAAAGTTAAATATTGGTGTAAAAACAGGAGGCTACAAACTCATTTGTCCGGGAGCTTCAATAAAAGTCTATTCTCTTGTACCTATGTATGGTGGCACAGTCTTTGGAAAGTTTGGCCTGCTTGCCTCTTCCTGGTTCCTGAAGTTTGCTCAGTGATTGGTTGCCTACAGCAATAAGCAGCGCTTATACTTCACCTTGTTTGCATGAAACCGAATGGTGCTGACCTGCAGGGCCGAAGAGGTTGGGGTCCGGGGTGCAGTGTGTGGCTCTCATCCTATCTCTCGTAGATTCAGAAAACCAACTGCCTCAGTGCAGAAGCTAATGAGGTCATGATATAAATAAAACGCTACAAATCATTTAAAAATATCTTGCTGCTGGTTGTTCCTTCTATCAAGGATTTTTTGTCATTGTGCAAGTGGAGTACATAAGTCTAACAAAATTTAGTAGCTGCCATTGTAATGATATAACACATGCTACTATATATAAAATTGAACCAGGAGGCTATTCCATCAAGGCCGCTAAACAATATCTGCTTAATTGATTTGGCTTGTCTTAGTTCCCAGATTGTTCCACTGGCAAGACACATTTTTCTATTTAAACTTTCTTTATTTCTCCATAATACATAGCTGTACACTGATGTAAGCAAGTAAATTGTTCCACATTGTACAACATCTGTTATATTTTCAAAAATTATGATAGGTGAACACGTGAGAACTTTTAACTGAATCATTTTGTCTGATAATGTTTCCGCCACATGGGACTTCTTTTCTATGTGGCTAAACTAAGCTTGGGAGTTAGCCTGCTACAGAGCAGGCTAGTTCAGAAGAGTAAATTGCCATAGTTACTGAGCAGGAGATATGCCCCAGTCATGGTACTGAGCTGCCACTTAATATAGTGAAACTTATCAAAATAAGCCAGGATTAATGTTTAGTGACCATGGTGGAATACCCTTCTGGTTGTAAATATACTCAATGACATAAAAAAGTTAAGCAGAAGTAATAGTCCAATTTGGATGTAATTTGGTACACATGCAGACCAGCAATATGTAAATAATTCGATTTGCAAGGAGCTGACACATCTAGTCACCAGACACAGAAGACGCCTCAGTCGCATTAGATAGCATTACCACCACTTGAAGGAGATTGATAGGGGTCGCATTGTGGGTTTGCATGAGGCCGGGTGGTTGTATCATACACTTGTCCGATCTTGGAACGAATGGGCATGTGAGGGCACCCAAACGCATCCTGAAGGTTCTGGTTGCCCAAGATGAACCACACCAAGGGATGATTATCGTATTGTGTGCCAAGCATTACATAACCCCATGACATCTGTGCCTGCCATCCGGACACAGGGATTGGACTCTCTACAACACTCCGTGTCAACTCGCACCGTGTCTGGACGACTAGCATCAGTCGGACTACGGGTTCACCGTCCCATGCATAGGCTACCATTAACACCAGCACAGAGACGGCTGCGTTTGGAGTGGTGCTGTAAGCGGGAGGCATGGACTGATGATGAGTGGCATCATACCGTGTTCAGTGATGAATCTCGGTTCTACATTACCACCGATGACCATCGTGTACATGTATGGTGACGCTGTGAGGAGAGGACCGATCCTGCCGTTGTTGTGGAGAGACACACGTAGCATTACTCCTGGCATCATGGTGTGGGGAGTCATAGGGTATTTTCTGGTAGTGATTTGGGGGACGATGACGGCACAGCGATACGTCAGTGACATCCTGCATCCGCATGTCTTACCCCTCCTGAGACAGCGTCCTGGTACAGTCTTTCAACAAGACAACGCCCATCCACACACGGCACATGTCTATAGACTGCCTGCGTCATGTTGAGGTCCTCCAGCGGCCAGCCAGGTCCCCTGATCTTTCCCCAATCAAACATCTGTGGGATCAGCTTGAACACCAACTCAGACCTAGTGCCAATCTGCAGGATCATGAGGGCCAGTTACAACAGCTGTGGGCCAACTTGCCGGAGGAGAGGATAAAACGGCTGTATGACTCCCATCCACACCATGTCGCCACATGTATCCAGGCCTACTGACATGGGACCAGCATTGTGCCCATACTGCCAACTCTGATATTATAATCATTGCGATACAGTCACATGCCCTTTTACAACGTGCAGTTTAAAAAAACGTAAGACATAGAAATATATATATATATATATATATATATATATATATATATATATATATA